TATATTTCTCTCTCTAGTATATATATAGCATCTATAAAAATAATATATATATATATATATATATATACACTACACACACACACCTATACATATACATATTTAGATAGCCATCTCTCCAAAAAGCAATGTTCAAAAAACAGTTATCAGCTGCATGTTTCAAATGTTTTTGTTTTACAAAAGGGTAATTATAAAACTTTGAGTTCTAACTTAAATTACACATGACAATTAAACTACCATATAATTAGTTATTTAGTGTTTGTTTGTTTGTAATTAAGCACAAAGCTACACAATGGACTATCTGTGATTTGCCCACCACCAATTTCTACATTGTAAGCCCAAAAACATACCACTGTGCCACTAGGAGGCAGTTATTTAGTGAATAATGTACATTACAATAATAAATAACAGATACATGTTTTTTCTTTCTTTTTTTTTTAAGGTTTATTTTATTTACCAACTATATGATGCAACTTGAATTTTATATATTGGAACAGTACATAGTTCTGTAGTTCTCAGCATACAAGTTTGTATACAACACAAAATTGTAAATAACCCATATCTAAAAACATTGTAAATGTCATAGTAAATACTATAACCAATACAATTTTAGAACACACATAAAACACTTTATAACCATCAGTGATGGGGAAGGGACAAAGTCGTGGCATTTATACAAAGTGTAAAAAAATCAACTGGTACTTCTAGTGTCACAATAAAAGCAAAAAATGAATATAAAATCTAAATTTATATATATTTATCAACTGTTAATACTCAATTGTTGTATGAAAAAAAGGTTAGAAAAAAGACGAAATGATATTTCTGATAATCTTGAGTTTCAAAATTTTCCAGGGACACAAAGGATCTAGCCTGAACGCATGGTGTTCTACCTTTGGCCCAAGTTCCACCTTCTCAAAGAGTTTGGGACAAATAAAGAGTTCACTCCAGCTTTTAATGCAAGTGTAAAACAAGACCAACTCTGTGTGATTTCTAGTGCTGATAGGTGTGTTTATCTTTCATGCTATACTATAGTCAATAAGAAATCCATTAAAGCACGTCAGCAGTTGCTTTGGTCAATGTCCACAATTAAATAGCCTTTTTTCTTGGATGCAAAACTTATCAGCTATATTCACAATCCAAGAAAGATGCAGCTGTAAAGTGTTCCAGATGTGAAATTGTTTGACCATTACTGCAAGTGGAAGATGGCTAAAATAATGTGTCCATCTGCATCCAATAGGGCAGTGTACTTTATAAGTGCTGTAGGTGTGGTTAAAATATATTATTATTATTATTTCTTATTACAGTAAAACTTTTAGGATTATAATCTTAACCATAAACAAACCTTTGATTCTGAAGTCCAGTGTTCATGCTGAAAAAATATCTTGACCCTTTTCTAGCAGGGCAGCTGTATTTAGGGTAATTCCATAACTCAGTCAACCTTAAATAAACAATTTCAAAAACATCAAATCAGTGTTCTGTTATTGGATATAAGAAAACAGACATGTTTATATACAAACTGTATTTACATTAGCATATTTCACAATATTACATGAACATCAGTTATTTTATCTTATAATAGGTTATAACTTTAATAGTACAGAAATGACGTATTACCCTTACCAAACTGAAGTCATATACTCATTGTACAAACTATCTTTTTTTATACAGTTCTCTTTTCAAAAACATCCACTTCACTGATGGTACTAAGTATGATGATGGTACAAGACACATTTATGTATGTCACAACAACAGAAACTGTGATAACTCTACCTGTATTGTCTAATCACTACAAAGTTTGGGTCCTGTGGTACAGAACAATGCCATACCTCTGCTACTTCCTTAATCAAAATGTGAATTTTCTGTTTACTTTCAGTTCATTTTGGACAGAGTTGCTCAAGCATGCAACATAATTTCTCCTTACTTTAGCTGAGCAAAGGACACAATTCACTAACTGTCATTAAAGATATTTTCTTACAAACTGTGACTTGACTCCAGGGCTGACAAGAGAGGGTGGGGGCAAGGAGGAAGCTCACTAGGAATGCATACTACTTTAATGAGCTAAAATGGTTATTGCTTGGATTCATGAAGAAATTTATCACCTAAGCTTATTTTATGAAAAATCAGCAAAAGTTAATAAATAGAAGGAAAGGGGGGACCTGATGATATTACTGACCCTGGAGCTCAAGCTGGCTCTCAACACCCCTACTTGACTCATGATGTTCCAAAATAGACAGCTGTCTTTTTTGTCAGTAAATTATGTTATAGCCTGGGGCTTTCCCACTTGTGTTCAAGTGACAATACTTCAGACAAACAGGAATGTGTGTCATGAGCAGCCCGACTTTGTTCATAATATTGTATTTTGGTATTTAAAGCCAGACTCTCCCCTCTTAGACCTATATTTTTGGTTAAGATTCATTTAGATCTATAACAGATTCACTGTCAGTGCTGATTACTGCCTTACTTTAGTATTTTTCATTTTGCCATATTTTAACTTTGAGTGGTTTAAGTTTTAACTTTTTTTTTCATGTAACTTACAAAGAGAGAACAAATAGATGTATTTTTACAAAATCTCTCTCTTGCCAGTTCCATACATGTATTATAAACACTTGTCCTTGTTTTTGTTTAATACTGTACTTGTTTCTGACTATTTTGTAAAGAAAGATTATTGTTGTGCATTTTGTGTGAAGACTTCTTGAAAACTTCAGTTGAAGCTCAAATAGATACAAACTGATACTCTGGGAAATGGTATTCTCCAGACCTTCTATTTAACAGGCCTTACCAATTTACTGTGGGGGAAGTCCATTTTTATGGAAAATACCATAGTACATTATAGCATCATTTAGATACCATTACACTATCAAATTAGAATGTTTTGAATATACATGCAAGGTATAATGTGCAAGTCCCCAAGAAAACATCCTGTTAAATAGAAATGTGAAGCTAAATATTCTTAAAAAATGTTCTGGAAACAGGTACAAGACAGTGAAATATATATGTTTTGTTTTGCCCAAAAATGATAAAAAATATAAACACCACTCACCTTTCCTTCAGTACATTTCTTACTTTACAAGATTCTAGATAAGGAAATGTAATGGCATTCTGTGCATCAACGAAAGCTTTAGTCTCTTCAAGGTTTGGATCCTCAAGCCACTGATACGGATCCGATACCTAGAAGTACACATAAAAGCATAACAAAAATTGACTTTCATAATATTTTATGTGCTCAAATATAATCACGAAATTTAAAAAAATTATACAATCTCTCCATAATGAAAAACATTTTCTAGTAATCTTATAGTTAATATATCCAAATTAAGGTTACTTACTATAGCACAGAACTTGTATTTTGCAAAATGTGACTGAATAATGACTGAGTGTCAAAAGCCAAGGACAATTACTAGATATGAAGTTATTCCTTGTCATCTGTGTCTTCAAGTACCACTATTTTAATATGAACTTCTGTTTAAAGCAAGTTATCTATATAGATAAAAACTAAAATTCAACCCAGAAATGAGCATAGTTAACTAAGAATATAGAAGTTCTACCTTGTAAATACTAGAATGCATAGTTTGATCAGTTGGCTATTCTTACTGTTTGCAATATTCTTAGGTGTAATCCTAATAATATCTCATGAGGTTCAGTCATGCTCAGAAGATTTATACTGAGCTAACAATGCAAAATACTCTCAACAATAAAAATATAATAATAAAAACTTAAACACAATGCAAGCAGATATATTAAACACTAATCAATATTGTTAATGAAATAACAGAGAATACCTTACATATGAAACATACAAACACTCATATCGAATTTCGTTTTTACAAAAAAGGAATTTTATTCATTTTCCTGACAAACAATTATTAATTCAGACCTCGACAATTCCTAGGGAGCAGGCGGCCATTGAAACCAAAATTTCATCGTGGCACCTACTATTTTCTCCCATTTTATTTGTGCATAGGGCTGTGCTAAACAGAACTCGAATCTAGAAAAGTTCTGGACTCTTGGAAATCCAGAACTATTTTTGTGTTCTTTGACTCCTAAATTGAACTTTGTTTCTAGGATTTTAATGTCAGATTCAACACTTCATGTTTTTTCAGGAATGAAGCACTGCAGGTGTACAACATGTTACTAATTTCATGCCATTTTGTTATTCTTTTTTTCTCGCAATTCAACCAATCAGTGCATGTGTTTAGATCATATGGGACCTAAGGCAGTTAGTTCAGGCAATACTATCATGTGGTTGTTGATATTATGTGATTGATAGCATGCACTCTTTGACATGAGAATAAACAAACACATTTCCCGGTACAAACAGAAGTGAAGTTAGGTTAAGCATACCTGGCTCTTGAGTTTTTGGGCTGGCTCCTAGT